TCCTGAACTGTAGTGTGTGACTTTTGATTTATAGGGTACATGCAGTTCATATTGTTTTGCTCTGGTCAGCTGTATGCCAGCGTTTCTTTTGTCAATGAAATGTCATGATTAAATACTTATCTTTCCCAATCAGTGTTGTTCCTGTGTCCGCGATTTATTTTTTGAGTGATTTTGATAACTTATTTGGGTGTTCTTTAACTTCTTTTGAGTAGTATATATATATGATATTTGCATCAGCTGTGTACATGGGCCGATGGCCTACAAGCAGAAGTAAACTTACTATTGTATCATGGTCAGTTGACGAATCGTGCAATAATTTAGTGCCAGATGTCTGCCTTCAGATATCTTTTTATCCTTCGTATCTTTATCCACTTTCATCCTATCAGGCGATATATATTTCGTAAAAAATGTTTTGAAAGCACATGCACAGCAACAGCCGCTGTTACCATATGTGATGTCAGAATATAATACCTATAAAATTGTGTTTGTTAATAGGCGCTTGGTTGGAAATATCTGACACCGCATTATCTCACAAGTCATAAACACATTATCTAAACAAGGAAGTAAATATGAAACCAGGAGGTTTGAATTTGTCCACGACGGAAGGAGAGTTTACACGGATCTAAAATAGCGATAACTAATGTAGAACCCTGGTGACGTCCCGGTTGTACAGATGGGTGACCCGCACACAGTGACAGTCTCTCTGTAAGTTGTTCATGTTTAATACTGTTATATACTCCAACATTGTCTCCATGTTTAGGTCTGTTTCCGTCGACTGCTATCTTAATGTTATTGTTTAGTTTCTAAAAATTTAGTTTCTTTAACACATGATGGTTTATCTGTTGCTGGGCTCCAGCACTTATGTGTGTAAAACTATACTGCTGCGCAAAAGAAAGTGTACACTTAAAAAATCGCATTTTGCCGAAACATTACAAACCTTATCAAACGTTACTAGGCTGAAAACAGTCACCGAAACGCTGCAAACTTATTGTCCAAGACACAACTAAAATACCTGTGTCAGATGCCAATCGAATAACCATTTCTTGCTTGTGTCAATATAATGCGGGGGATATAGCGATCAGCCAGTCTGTCTGTCCGTCCGCCTGTCCGTCCGTAATCATTTCCTTTTCCGGGGCAGAATTCCAAAACTATTCTGTGTATTTGATCCAAACTTGGCACATCTATCAGGCATATACTGAAGTTGGGCCTTTTGATATTTTGGGATTTTTCTAATTATTATTTTTTTTTAATTTTATGGAATGAAGTTGGACATAGACTCAATTGGGGATGAGGTTCGCTTCCGGGGCAGAATTAAAAAAAAAAATTCAGTGTATTTGATCGAAACTTGGCAAAGCTATCAGGCACATACTGAAGTTGGGCCTTTTGATATTTTGGGATTTTTCTAATTATTATTTTTTTAAATTTTATGGAATGAAGTTGGACATAGACTCAATTGGGGATGAGGTTCGCTTCCGGGGCAGAATTAAAAAAAACATTTAGTGTATTTGATCGAAACTTGGCAAAGCTATCAGGCACATACTTAAGTGGTGCTTTTTTATATTTTGGATTTTTTAAATTTTTATTTTTTATATTTTTTTATGGAATGACGTTGCACATAGACTTAATTGGGGATGGGGTTCGTTTCCAGGGCAGAATTCGAAAACCATTCAGTGTATTTGATCGAAACTTGTCAAAGCTATCAGGCACATACTGAAGTGGTGCCTTTCGATATTTTGGGATTTTTTCTAATTTTAATTGTTTTAATTTTTATGGAATAAAGTTGAACATAGACTCAATTGGGGATGGGGTTCGTTTCCAGGGCAGAATTCGAAAACCATTCAGTGTATTTGATCGAAACTTGGCAAAGCTATCAGGCACATACAATCTTCCCGAGGCAAGAGAGTTAACTGACTTTAAAAGTCCAGTTTCCGCCCTTGCCGAACTAGGCTGGAATTCCTGGGCTCGATCGTAGCACCACCAGTTGCTGTTACGAGTTATGTCCTTTCTATGCCGCTCATATTGACCAATCAGATGCAACCTCTCGTATCCCTTGCATTTGCTTCAAACAAAACGGTGGCGCCCAGTCAATACGATCTGATCGATAATCAATATCTATATTGTGATAAAACGAGTTTTACATCGCGAAGGGCATCAAATCACGTGAGCACCTTGATTAAAAACAGGAAAAGATTTAGAAAATATCTGTTGACAACGAGTTAGCGGTGCACATGTTTTGCAAATCCTGCAGTCGACCGAAATCTGCATGACAATTTACGAACCGAATTTCAATTTTGGTGCGCGATTTTGATTGGACTATGCATAGACTCGTTAGTACAGCCAAAATGTAACTCCATAATACCAGCCTAGTTCGGCAAGGTTGGAAACTGGACTTTTATAGTCAGTTAACTCACTTCCCTCGGGAAGAGGGGCACATACTGAAGTGGTGCCTTTTGATATCTTTTTTTTAATTTTTTTTATTTTTTACAATTTTTCTGGAAAGAAGTTGGACCTAGACTCCATTGGGGAACGGGTTCGTTTCCGGGCCAGAATTCGAAAACCTATCAGTGGGTAAACATTGTATGCTTCTTAAAGAACCTACAACTGTTGACTCATTACATAGAGAATTGCACATTTACTAGTGGTTACTTTACAGACAGCTGCCGGGGGGATATGTCATCTTTCTGATGACTCTTGTTGTATATTTTCTTTGGCCTTAGTTTAAGTTGGACTTAACACATTTGTTTTTTGCAATATTTAAGATTTATAACTTGTTTGATCCTTGTAGTTGTACAATTCTCTTAAATTCTCTGAACCTACATATTCGCACCTCTAATTTTCTCCTCTGAAATGCCCATGCTGAAGAACGTAAACTTTGAAAATAGGCAAGCCCATTTGTTCTCATGATGTCATTTCGTATTTTCAAATAAATAATATTTTAGTACCAGGTTTTAGCGTCAGTGTTTTGGAAGAAACTATTTGAATATCACTTCTGACAATTTTTTGTAGAGTGGCTGTCTTTGTTGACATTTAAACCTGTTGCCCACACTTGTCTGAAATGATCTTGTGAAGAATGGGAAACGGACCATTGAGAAAAACTCGAGCTGTGACAGAGAGGAGACGTCCACAAGGGAGACAATCCACACCATCAACAACACTAGATGGCGCTGTGGCTGGACCATCAACAGACGCTCCAGCAGTGACAGAGGGGAGTCAAAAGCAGGGGAGACAATTCACAGACGCTATAGCTGTGACAGAGGGGAGACGTCCACAAGGGAGACAATCCACACCATCAACAACACTAGATGGCGCTGTGGCTGGACCATCAACAGACGCTCCAGCAGTGACAGAGGGGAGCCAAAAGCAGGGAAGACAATTCACAGACGCTCTAGATGTGACAGAGGGGAGTCAACAGCAGGGGAGACAATCTACACCAACATCAACACTAGATGGCCTTGTGGCTGGACCATCCACAGACGCCCAAGCTGTGACGGAGGGGAGTCAACAGCAGGGGAGACAATCCACACCGACATCAACGCTAGATGGCGCTGTGGCCGAATCATTCACAGACGCTCTAGCTGTGCCGGAGGGGCGTCAACAGCAGGGGAGACAATCCACTTCCACAACCACACACAACTACATAGGTGAGTCTTCCCCTGTCATCATGGTGGCCTTGTGTTTGGAGCAGTCCCTTGTCATGCTGAAGCCCATGGTTAGATTCAGTACAGGTTTACAATGAGTGAAGTCTGCCAATTTGGTGTATCACGTCAATATTTGTAAAGTAGCATTATAGATTACGCAACTTATAAGATGAAAGCCAGGACTAAAATATGATATTTTTTAACAGCTATATTTTAAGTAGCCTGAAACATGCCTAGAGTTAAATATAACGGCATCATGGTTTCATATGCGATCATCTTCACGAAGGAATGGAACACACAAATATGCACACACACACACTGAACATGCACATGGACCACTATGTAATTTAATGTTTAGCCCACCTTAATAGTGTCAACGAGAGGTTATGTCATTGGTGTTCCTCCATTGTCAATCAAACCTTTACTCTGTTGGATAGCACTGTTTTCTCACTGCCTGTTTGTCTGTGTATTTTACAACAATTTATCATATGGAGTATAAACAATCTTAGCATTGCATACAACCTCAACTTAGTCCAAAGACTTTTATCATAGGAAATAAATGAACATTTATATTTATTACACAATTAATTAAATCTGTCATATGACGACAACACAAATGAATATGATGGAAGTGGAATCACTTCGTTTCATTGCATCTATTTGGATTGAATCAAAATGCTTTATTAATTGAAATGGTAAATCGCTTTCTTATAACAGTTAAGGTAGCGAGATGTACCTGTATGATGAATATAAACACTCGGCCTCCTTACTGTGAGAGACAATATTCTGCTTTAACCTGACCAGTAACTCCAGGTCGTTATGTATCCCAGTATGACCTGTCCAACTGCTCTAACGTTGTTTTCCTGCTCCAGGTCGTGACGTATCCCAGTATGGCCTGTTCAACTCGTCTAACGTTGTTTCCCTGCTCCAGGTCGTTCAGTATCCCAGTATGACCTGTCCAACTCCTCTAATGTTGTTTTCCTGCTCCAGGTCGTTCAGTATCCCAGTATGACCTGACCAACTCCTCTAACGTGGTTTTCCTGCTCCAGGTTGTTCAGTATCCCAGTATGACCTGTCCAACTCCTCTGATGTTGTTTCCCTGCTCCAGGTCGTTCAGTATCCCAGTATGACCTGTTCAACTCCTCTAACGTTGTTTTCCTGCTCCAGGCTGTTCAGTATCCCAGTATGACCTGTCCAACTCCTCTAACGTTGTTTCCCTGCTCCAGGTCGTTCAGTATCCCAGTATGACCTGTCCAACTCCTCTAACATTGTTTCCCTGCTCCAGGTCGTTCAGTTTCCCAGTATGACCTGTCCAACTCCTCTAACGTTGTTTTCCTGCTCCAGGTCGTTCAGTATCCCAGTATGACCTGTCCAACTCATCTAACATTGTTTTCCTGCTCCAGGTTGTTCAGTATCCCAGTTTGACCTGTCCAACTCCTCTAACGTTGTTTCCCTGCTCCAGGTCGTTCAGTATCCCAGTATGACCTGTCCAACTCCTCTAACGTTGTTTTCCTGCTCCAGGTTATTCAGTTTCCCAGTATGACCTGTCCAACTCCTCTAACGTTGTTTCCCTGCTCCAGGTCGTTCAGTACCCCAGTATGACCTGTCCAACTCGTCTCACGTTGTTTTCCTGCTCCAGGTCGATCAGTATCCCAGTATGACCTGTCCAACTCCTCTAACGTTGTTTCCCTGCTCCAGGTCGTTCAGTACCCCAGTATGACCTGTCCAACTCGTCTCACGTTGTTTTCCTGCTCCAGGTCGATCAGTATCCCAGTATGACCTGACCAACTCGTCTAACGTTGTTTTCCTGCTCCAGGTTGTTCAGTATCCCAGTATGACTTGTCCAACTCCTCTAACATTGTTTTCCTGCTCCAGGTTGTTCAGTACCCCAGTATGACCTGTCCAACTCGTCTAACGTTGTTTTCCTGCTCCAGGTTGTTCAGTATCCCAGTATGACCTGTCAAATCCTCTAACGTTGTTTCCCTGTTCCAGGTTGTTCAGTATCCCAGTATGACCTGTCAAACACCTCTTACACTTCAGTGGGAAATCACGGTCATAGAGGCTGTGCATCACATGGTGAGTGCTAGTTAACAGTCATTTTTATAAATATGACGCTCTGTGACCACTGAACCATCTTTTGTCTATGATAGAACAGATTAAATATAAGACACTGAAATGTTTTGGATAGAACGCAAATCATGTTTTTAATTCCTTTTGCAGAATGACAATATCCTTGCTTTATTTAGAAAGTCTCCAATTTTGTTTTTTTTTCAAATTAAGCCCCAAACACTGCCCTTTTTTGTGCGAAAATTTGCACCAGATTGTTTGGCGGGTGCTGTTGGTACAGCAAGACATGCTTACCTTTTTGCGAACGTCGAGTGTCTTCACTGATATTCAGTGATCCCTTTATATGATTTCTTTAGGATCTATGGCAGGATCAATAATAATTTCCATATCGCAAACATAATGTTAAATGCTTTTTTAGGTTTAATAGCAATACTTTCCAGTATTCACAATTATGTGTTGATGTGCTCTGATTTAGCCCCAACTTATATATCAATACTTATTTATGTGATGATGTGCTGTAATACTTTTATGTTTTCAGAGTCTCTTCGCATCAGGATCAAGCAGCTGAATGAAGTGTTTAAGGAAACTCACACTCTTCATAAAGCAGAAGAACTTCTGAAAAGGCACAACCATGTGGCAATTATTGGAGCTCCTGGAGAAGGGAAAACAAGCACTGCTCTCAAGATATGTGAGAAATATCTCCACAAAAAATATGAAGTTGTGTTTGTTGATAATTTTGAGATATTTGATGTGGATACAATCATTCAACGAACATGTAACATGCTGGTTGTGTTTGATGATATATTTGGTTCTGTGACGGTTCCTTCTAATTGTGAGAAAATTCACAAAGTCTCGACTGCCCTGGTTGACGCTTTATTTCAACAGGAACATGATGCCATGAAGCAGAAACCAAATAAGCAAGAAGAAACTCAAGCAGGTGAGATACAAAACAAAGCCCACAAGCTCCACTTTATTTTCTCATCCAGAAGCTACAACTGGAATGAAGGACGTGGAAGAATGCACCAGTTCAAGGTAAATCTCTTCAAGCCTGAAAGTGTCATTGACATGACCAAGACCGGCCTGACTACCGAGGAGAAGAAATCTATTATGAATTCGTTCGAGAAAAGAAGTAAAAAACGTGATATCTCAAACCAGGACAAGAACACCATTATTCAGTTACAAGACAGCATGTTTGGATTTCCTCTGATCTGTCAACTGTATTGTACCAACCCAGCCTTCCAGATGCACAACATTATTGACTTCTTCCAGAAACCTGTGACCTACCTGAGAGGTGACCTTGACACCATTGTCCGTGAAGGCAGCAGCAGGTCGGCAACTCTCGTTCTCCTTGTTCTGTGTGGAGGGAAGTTGGACCTTGTCTCCTTTAAGGCGAGAGAGAAGAATCTCACCAATCTGTTTCAGGCTGTAAAGGAGGAGATAGCGTCTTGCACTCAAACAGACATTGGCAGGGAGATCATCAACTTCACCGGCACCTACTGTACGGTGGAGAATCATGTAGCCTCCTTCTCACATCCATCCATCTACGATGCTGCAGCATGTGCCTTGGGGAATCTCAATGAAGTCTTTGTACTGGAACATTGTTCTCTGCAGTTTTTACTTGAAAAGGTAAGGCTCAACAAGAATGGTGACCTGCAAACAAGCTACACTGATAATGTCACAAACATGATATACATCACTTCCAGTCTCCACCCGTTAGTGATCAGCAGGTTGATGGAGGGTGTCCGAGAAGGGTGCTTCAGATGGACAGTAGGTCACCCTGTATTCAGAAGTGCTCAAATAGCATCCTCCTTCTTGACACAGATCATGGCTGACTTACCAGGTGTTGTTCACAGAAAAGATAGGAACTCAGGCGAATGTTTTCTATACTGGGTTTCACTGTCAACTAACCATTCACTGTTTGAACACACAGTGTCACTGATGTGTAGAGAGGGAAGCCTTTCACATTCTGTACTAGCTGACTTCTATGATAGTATCATAGGCTGTACACAACATGGCAATCTCAGGCATCTTAAACATATTGCTGCTGTACTCAAACAACATGGGATATACGATGTTGACAGGAGGACAAAGGGAGAGAAGACTCTGCTGATGATTGCTGCTGAGGCAGGACAGTTGGGTGTGTTCAACTTCCTCCTCCAAGAAGGAGCTGATGTTTCAGCGACAGACGAAGATCATTATAACTGTCTTCATCTTTCATGTAAATCAGGAAGCAAAGATATAGTAAATGTTATCAATGAGAAGTTTCAACATCTGATCAATGGTCGTGACAGAAAGGGAAACACCCCTGCAATATTGTGTGCCAATTTAGGGCAGGTTGAACTCCTCAAGTGTCTTGTTTTACACAAAGCAGATCTTACTATCAGGAATGATTACATTTTCGACACAGCATGTATAAACGGCCATGTATCAGTTGTAGAATATCTGCTGACATGTGAACACATGAGCATCCACAGAAGAGACAGATGGTGGAAACTAACCAAAGGTATGAAGGCAGCTGAGAATGGACACTATGATGTTTATAATCTTCTTGTATCTGGAGATGATCTGTCACTTACTGATAAATACAACAGTGACCTCCTGATGTCAGTATTTAACGGAGGTGACGTGTCTATAGTGAAACACGTGCTGTCCTTGAAAACATTTGATATTAACAGACGAGAGGGGTCACGGAAACAAACAGCAGTCATGATGGCAGCTGAAAGAGGACGCTATGATGTTTATAATCTTCTTGTGTTGGAGGGAGCTGATCTGTCACTTACTGATACAGGCAACAATGACTGCCTGATGTTGGCAAGTGAGAGGGGTAACGTGTCTATAGTGAAACACCTGCTGTCCTTGAAAGTACTGGACATCAACAGACGAGACAGTTTAAAGGAACAAACAGCAGTTATGATGGCAGCTGAAAGAGGACACTATGGTGTTTATAATCTTCTGGTGTTGGAGGGAGCTGATCTGTCACTTACTGATACAGGCAACAAGGACTGCCTGATGTTGGCATGTGAGGGAGGTAACGTCTCTATAGTGAAACACCTGCTGTCCTTGAAAACATTTGACATCAACAGACGAGATAGATCACGGAAACAAACAGCTGTTATGATGGCAGCTGGAAGAGGACACTATGATGTTTATAACCTTCTTGTGTTGGAGGGAGCTGATCTGTCACTTAGTGATAGAGACAACACGGACTGCCTGATGTTGGCATGTGGGGGAGGTAACGTCTCTATAGTGAAACACCTGCTGTCCTTGAAAACATTTGACATCAACAGACGAGATAGATCACGGAAACAAACAGCTGTTATGATGGCAATTGTAAGAGGACACTGTGATGTTTTTAATCTTCTTGTGATGGAGGGAGCTGATCTGTCTGACAGGTACTGTCTGATGTTGGCATTTTATAATGGCAACGTGTCTATAGTGAAACACCTTCTGTCCTTGAAAACATTTGACATCAACAGACGTGGGGGGTCAAGGAAACAAACAGCTGTTATGATGGCAGCTGAAGGAGGATGCAGTGATTTTTATAATCTTCTTGTGTTGGAAGGAGCTGATCTGTCACTTACTGATAGAGACAACAATGACTGCCTGATGTTGGCATGTTTGAGAAATAAGGTGTCTATAGCGAAACACCTGCTCTCCTTGAAAATACTGGACATCAACAGACGAGACAGTTTAAAGGAACAAACAGCAGTTATGATTGCAGCCGAAGGAGGACACTATGATATTTATAATCTTCTTGTGTTGGAGGGAGCTGATCTGTCACTTATTGATAAAGCCAACAAAGACTGCCTGATGTTGGCATGTATTGGGGGTAACATGTCTATAGTGAAACACCTGCTGTCCTTGAAAACATTTGACATCAACAGACGAGATAGATCACGGAAACAAACAGCTGTTATGATGGCAGCTGAAGGAGGACACTGTGATGTTTTTAATCTTCTTGTGATGGAGGGAGCTGATTTGTCACTTACTGATACAGGCAACAAGGACTGCCTGATGTTGGCAAGTGAGAGGGGTGACGTGTCTATAGTGAAACACCTGCTGTCCTTGAAAATACTGGACATCAACAGACGTAGGGGGTCACGGAAACAAACAGCTGTTATGATGGCAGCTGAAGGAAGACACTATGATATTTATAATCTTCTTGTGTTGGAGGGAGCTGATTTGTCACTTACTGATGATGACAAAATGGACTGCCTGATGTTGGCAAGTGAGAGGGGTGACGTGTTTATAGTGAAACACCTGCTGTTTTTGAAAACATTGGACATCAACAGATGTGGGGGGTCACGGAAACAAACAGCTGTAATGATGGCAGCTGAAAGAGGACACTGTGCTGTTTATAATCTTCTTGTGATGGAGGGAGCTGATCTGTCACTTGCTGATGGTAACAACATGGACTGCCTGATGTTGGCAAGTGAGAAGGGTTACGTGTCTATAGTGAAACACCTCCTGTCCTTGAAAACATTTGACATCAACAGGCGAGAAGGATCAAAGAAACAAACAGCAGTTATGCTGGCAGTTGAAAGAGGACACTGTGATGTTTATAATCTTCTTGTGTTGGAGGGAGCTGATCTGTCACTTACTGATGGGGACACCATGGACTGCCTGATGTTTGCATGTAAGGGGGGTTACTTGTCTATTGTGAAACACCTGCTGTCCTTGAAAACATTTGACATCAACAGACGAGACAGATCAAAGAAACAAACAGCAGTTATGATGGCAGCTGAAAGAGGACACTATGATATTTATAATCTTCTTGTGTTGGAGGGAGCTGATCTGTCACTTACTGATACAGGCAACAAGGACTGCCTGATGTTGGCAAGTGAGAGGGGTTACGTGTCTATAGTGAAACACCTGCTGTCCTTGAAAACATTGGACATCAACAGGCGAGATAGATCATGGAAACAAACAGCAGTTATGATGGCAGCTAAAAGAGGAGACTATGATGTTTATAATCTTCTGGTGTTGGAGGGAGCTGATCTGTCACTTACTGATAAAGGCAAAAAGGACTGCCTGATGTTGGCAAGTGAGGGAGGTAACGTGTCTATAGTGAAACACCTCCTGTCCTTGAAAACATTTGACATCAACAGACGAGATAGATCATTGAAACAAACAGCAGTTATGATGGCAGCTCAAAGAGGAGACTATGATGTTTATAATCTTCTTGTGTTGGAGGGAGCTGATCTGTCACTTACTGATACAGAAAACAAGGACTGCCTGATGTTGGCAAGTGAGGGAGGTAACGTCTCTATAGTGAAACACCTCCTGTCCTTGAAAACATTTGACATCAACAGACGTGGGGGGTCATGGAAAGTAACAGCACTTATGATGGCAGCTGAAAATGGACATTATGATGTATATTATCTTCTTGTGTTGGAGGGAATTGATCTGTCACTCGGTAATGAAGACAATGTGGACAATTTGAGGGAAGCAAGGTGTCGAAAGTGAATCACCTCCTTTGCTTGAAACATTTGGCCAAATTCAACAATAAAAATCCAGTCCATTACTGCAGTGAGTCAGTTGCGGGCATAAATACTAAAGTTTCTGACTTTGCCCATCTGCTACCGGAGTCTGCACGTGCAACATTCGGTGTAAATTGCTCTCGACCTTGACAGAAAAAAACAAACCATGGTTTATGCGAAAATGTGTGTTAAACATATTTATTTCCGTAAATTGTACACGTACAGGATTTGCAAGTCGTGCGACTCATATAAATACGTTCCAGTCATCAAAAAAGAAAGTACAGAAGAGGTAGCATGCAGTAACACCAGTGGATATGATGGAAGCTTTGTAAACTGTTTAGTGATCAATTTGTCTGTATAATGTAATTATGAAGGATACTAGACGATCCGAAAATGGGTTACTTTAACGGGTATATCTGTTCATGGCACTATTACATTTCCAAAATTCATTCATTATAAATTTCAAACATTCATTCATTATACATTTCAAACATTCATTCATTTTACAATTCAAACATTGTTTCATTATACATTTCAAACATTTATTCATTATACATGCAAATATTCATTCATTATAAATTTCAGTCATTTATTCACTATACATGCCAATATTCATTCATTATAAATTTCAAACATTCATTCATTATACATATCAAACATTGATTCATTATACATTTCAAACATTCATTCATTTTACATTTCAAACATTGATTCATTATACATTTCAAACATTTATTCATTATACATGCAAATATTCATTCATTATAAATTTCAGTCATTTATTCAATATACATGCCAATATTCATTCATTATAAATTTCAAACATTCATTCATTATACATATCAAACATTCATTCATTATACATTTCAAACATTCATTCATTTTACATTTCTAACATTGATTCATTATACATTTCAAACATTTATTCATTATACATGCAAATATTCATTCATTATAAATTTCAAACATTCATTCATTATACATATCAAACATTCCTCCCACATTAAGCTGACACGCCGTGATATGACTGGAATACTGTTGAAAGCGGCATTAAACCTAACTCTCTTACTCACTCACTCACTCACTCACTCTCTGAACCTCAAGGTCCAGCACAGATGGCGCACTGACGTCACACAATACAAGGTATAATGCTAAATAATGAAGTGTCACAGTTTGTCCGTCATTTGTAATGAAGGATGACTGATTGACGCCCCTAGCGAGTCTAGGGCAACTTTCCGCTTCAGCATAGATAAGATAAGCATAAATGTCAATCAAGTAAAGTCAATTTATTCATGTTCATTCAAATGAAAGTGTATAATATCCATTGCATCTATAATCCAATGAAAATGCAGCATTTTACATTCTAACGATAGCCAATGGTTATTTTATTTCTGTTGATGTAATTATTGCCATGTCTTTAGACTGCCTGTCAATGTGATTTGTTGTTGTTGTTGTTTTTAATACTTTTAATGTTACATAGATTTACATTGTGTAACATGACATGTAATATACTTATTAGGTGGAGGTTACATACCTATACAGCAAATGTTAGTTGGCTTAAACAATGTTAACAAATGGTGAAACGAGCAGGCTACATTTGCCATGCTTAATGGGGTCACCATTAGCTAGGTGTGAAGTTAATCATATGAACTAGAAAATTCATTTGCCAAATGTTACCATTTTCTGTCAAACTGTCTTTTTGTATTTTTTGTGTGTGCAATTATTTTCTCTATCCAAAATATATCGATTAAATCTTCAGAAAGTTTTTCAAGTGACAATTTGTTTTTCCTAATGCTTGATACATGTATATTGTTTTTTCATGCCAGTATGTGATTTGACAGAATGTTAGAGTGTTTACCCAAGTAAAACAGAGCATTTTGTAAATGTGAATTGTTTTGAACATTTTTCATTCAGAAAATGATTCTGCTTTGGCCCAAAACTCTTTAACATGCTTACAATCTCAATATACATGAAGTAAGAATTCAGTATCAGTTTCAAATAATGAGCATAGATCATCATCGATAATTTTCATTTTAAACAATTCTTTCTTTGTATAGATGATGCGATGAATAAATTTATATTGAAAATCAAGTAATTTTACATATATTGTACATTTTCTGTATCTGATAAAAACATCCTTCCATGATATATCTAAGTCAAGAATAGTATCCCATCCCATACTGTTAGGAGATTTGCTGTAGTGTTAATTTTATCATAAAAATATCTTGAGCCTTTAGTCCATCAAAATTGTGTTTAAATATTAATTATATAAGTTAATGTGATTATTTTTAATAGCTTCTTTCCAGGATTTCGGTATGTTTTAACCCGGTAATATTCAAGTATTGTGCCTTCAGTTTGGTATTTCCTTTTAAGTCCATTAAAGGGCAATATATCATCTTCATTACAGAGATCTTTAATAGTGTAAATTCCCTTAAAAAAACAATTTATTATAATGAAATCTTTTTTTTAAAACTGAAGGTTACACCAAAGAAGTTCTGATAGTACCTCTCCAATGTTTGTGCAGTTAGTTTTGTGTCTATACAATGTTCCCCAGGCAGCCAAAACATCTCTCCAGTAAGGGTTAGCTAAGTGTATACAGTTTTCGATATTGTCCCCAAATAGGAATATGTGTTTAAGTGGAAAGATGCTAGGGTTATAACAGTTTTTGTTTTGAAGATAGTTTTAGAGAATTGACAGTTTTAGGGAAATTATAAAAAAAACTTACCTCTATCATTCACAGTCCACCTTGGTCATATTTTCTAATTGATATTGTTCATTATATTTTGTCCTTTTTATCATTCCTGATGAATCTGTACAATATTTTGTTCATCAATATATTCACTTGGAGGGTTTGGGTGAGAGGAAAATATATGTACTTAGGTTGACAGGGCCAAGGTTTTGACAACAGTTATTTTACTTATAAATGTTACATTTCTTTTCCTCAAATTCCCTCAAATTTTAATTCGTTAAAACTGTATTTCGTCATAAGCATATGTACAGCGTACATACAACAAATGGACGGGAGCAAGAAATATTTTGTTCGTCAGTTCGTTGTAAGCATGTTCATTATAAATGTAGTTTACTGCATTGCAAAGTGTTCCAGTCTAGTTTCAGATCCTACCATAATTTGATGTCTCAGCCTGTCATTGACCCTATCCATAATGCTTTTGTTTTATCAAAAGCTTTTTCAAAGTCTGTAAGTAATAGTAAACCAGGCTTATTTTGTAATTCTGTTTCAAACAAGATATCATATGGTAGTGGTATGTTTTCGCTAATACATTTCCCAGGGATAAAGCCAGGTTGGTTTTCATGTATACGAGTATTAAATGTCCAAATGAAGTCAAGTCTAGCTTGCTGTTTTGGCCTTTTCTTCCACCGTGTGTATTTCTTTGCTTCTTAATTTTTGTCTCTGCAAACAATTAGATCAACGCTTTCTGTTTTTTCAACTAACTTTGTACTAACTTTCTTGGTTTGGGATTGTTGATATGATTATAATTTTCCAAATCGACAGCAGATTGAGAACCAAGTTCCAATTTCCTCATATAACCAGTGATTGGTTTTCAAATTCGTCAATATAATTGAATAAAGTTTTGTAAAAAGCAGGTTCAGCTTGATATGGCCAATAAATATAAGTTAGAGTTCACCTTATGCCCGCTATTGTGCTATCTGCTATCATATCGTTTAAATCTATGGAATGTTATTTCTAAAGTGTAACAAAACAAAATGGCAACTGCTCTTGCATTTGACTTATTCTCATTATTTGTCCCCATTCATTTTGAACTATTGTTTTATCATCTTTAGAAATATGAATGTCTTGTAGACATAATTATTACAGAAAATCTCTTCTTTTGCCATAGGTTCATTACTTCTTTACGTTTTGTTTTATCTGCTAGGCCCCTGCAATTTGCTGATACTATGCTGGTTTTGTCACCTATATTCAGTGTTTTCCAAAATAAACAGACTCCTGTTGTAAAGGTTGTTATTGATATCATACATTGATTCATCCATGACTGGACTGAATTTAATGTTTTTAATGTTTGTGGGGAAAACAGATTGTATGAAAATGTAGCAGGACGTGGAGTCATCCCACAGATGACATCCTTACCTAGTGTAGCGTTTCCACAAGCTATATCCATCATGGGTATTTGAAATCAAACAGCATTACCATGGCCAGAATTGGGAGTGTTAATATAGCCATCAACTGACCTGTCCGTAAACTAGGCCAAGAAAGGGAGGTAACTCGCGTGTGAGTGACTGAGTGAGTGAGTATGGCTTTACGACGCTTTTAGCAATATTACAGCAATATCACGGCGGGGGACTCCAGAAATGGACTTCACACGTGGTACCCATGTCGAACCCTGGTCTTCGGCGTGACGAACGAACGCTTTAACCACTAGGCTACCCGACCGCCCCAACTCGCGTGTGAACATGGTGTGTGAAAGAGTAACACGTCAATACATAATATGTTTCTGATGGCATCATTAATCACACGTAGTTCTCAGATATTATCTTCAGTCGAACAATTAAGTAAAACTATTTGACTATACACCAATACTGGTTGTCAGATACTCCTAAGAACCATGTAACTAATAATAGTAACCAAAGAACTCGCAGATGAGGCCAAAGGCCCTCGGCTTCGTCTACGATTTTTTGCCGACTTTTCCGTCGATGTTGAAATTCAAGAGAGATACATAATCTCACGAACATTGACATGTAGTTTCATACGCGCTATGTTCTTGATAAAGTTCAAATATATGAAAACATTTAGAAAAATGACACTCACGTGATTCTATAAATAACAGCGTCAACAAACTTCAGTGTCACTGAACGTCATTCAATCATAGATTGATCAAGATAGATGCAAACATCATCGCGCATCATCCACGTTGCAATGTGTGGGTTCATTTAAGACGTAATGACACGATGATTTGCATTAGTGTACACTTTCACAATGCCAAGCACAACCAGGACTGGTGTAGCCATCGT